GGAGGAGAAGGAGGAGGAGGAGAAGGAGTAGAAGGAGAAGAGGAGCAGGAGGAGGGGGAGGAGGAAGAGGAGGAGGATGAGGATGAGTAGGAGGAGGAGGAGGTAGGGGGTGGAGGAGGAGGAGGATGAAGAAGAAGAGGAGGAGGAGGAGGAGGACTGAGTGAGTGAGTGAGTGAGTGAGTGAGTGAGTGAGTGAGTGAGTGAGTGAGTGAGTGAGTGAGTCCCAGGACGACGTCCAAAACCACCCTAGAATCGGAGCCCCTTCTGTGCTCTCTTGACCTGCTCGGTTCTGCTGTAGGCCTTCGGCCACAACCCTTGCCTGAGCCGATCGAGATACGTGATCTGGGTCGGGGTGGGGTTACGCGTACAGAGCTTCCCCAGCCCAACCAGCTGCTGATCACAGAGCATGACACATGCACAGCAGAAACACACAAGCACATCAACGTGAAACCGAAGATCGTGACTACTGCATGCTACACCCCCTCGCGATGTGCAACTCACGGCCCAGGGGCAACGCACGGAGGGAATCATCCACCAGGACTAATTCATAGCACGGTGACTTCAGCCATTTTATTGAGCTCACCTGCAGACGAGGAGCCCCTGCATCTGACACACTTCCTGCCAGGACCATCTAACGCATGGGAGCTGCCCAAGGTGGCCACCGCAGAGGCCCTGGGCCTCGGAATGGGGGCGGGCGGAGGGGGCGGGGGAGGAGGAGGAGGCGGAGGAGGAGGAGGAGCAGGGAGGAGGAGAGGAGGCGGGGAGGGGGAGAACGCAACTGCCTTGATGCTTTTGTTGGTGTCTAAAGTAAAAAACGCGAGAGGAGCAGGAGGAGGAGAGAGGAGGAGGATGAGGAGGATGAGGAGGAGGTATTTTGAGGAGGAGGAGGGGAGGCGGCGTGATCAGGAAAAAAGGTATGAGGGAGACGCGAGGACATCACAGAGATTCTGCAGCACCAGTGATCCAGCTGTTGTGACCCAGGGGGGGGCTCTGCCCCGCGCGGCCCCGATCGCATGCGGCCCACGAGCCCCGGTGGCCGCCCGCGAGAAGGGCGAGTCGGTTCACGCAGGTCTTCGACGTTGACCGGTAGGACGTGAAGGCAAAGCCGCCCTCCCCACTTGGGTGGAGATCTCCCGCTCCTCGCCTGGCTCCTCCTCCATCCTCCTCCTCCACCCTCCACCTCTCCTCCTCCGGCACTCGCTCCTCCTCCATCCTCCACCGCGCAGTCCTGTGTTCCGAGCAGCTCCACCACCTCCTCCACCTCCTACCTGGCACCTCCACTTCAGCCTTCTGTGTACCATCCTCTCCACCGCAGTTCCTCGTGGGCCTGCCGCCCGCCTCGCTCCTCCTCCTCCTTCATCTCACACCTCCTCCGCCGCTCCTCCTCCTCCTCCTCCTCCTCCTCCTCCTCCTTCTCCTCTCCTCCTTCTTTTCTTCGCCTCCTTCTCCTCCTTCTTCTCCGCCTCCTCATTCTCCTCCTCGTCCTCTAACGACGACGACGCCCTGCACCAGGTATGTGGGGCGGGGGGCTCTTCGCGCTCCTCGCGCCTGGCCGCCGCGTCCCCCAAGGCGAGGCAGCATTGAGCTGCCAGGGATATACCCATGCTCTTCCCGGAGACAGGACGCTCCGACAAAAATCGAAGCGGCCGGTTTTCGGCCGTGTTCGGCCTCCGAGGGGTCTCGCCGGGCCTCGGGCCCGTCCAATTGAAACGGAAGAATTGCCTTTGGGGAAGTTGTCCAGACCTCCGGGGGCCACGCATCAAAAGAAAAGTTGGAGCAGCCGGACGTCTGGGTTCCACTGCTGGGTAAACTTACAGGAGCCGATACCGCTGCTCCCCAGACCTCTGCCGAGGTGCGGAATGCAGCAGTGGCGACGAGAGGGCCTCCCGGGAGGCCCCAAAGGGGGGAAACCCGAGGCAAGAAGAGCGGTAAGGGTACTCTCTCCCCCAGTCCCCCGATGTCGTGTTTCTGTTTCGCAAGTCGACCCCCAGAGGTCTGGACCCCTTCCCAGGGACTGGTGTTTCATCCCGAGTTGTTTTTTTGACGGTCTTGGGGCCCGAGAAGGACCCCCAGAGGCCGAAATAGCGACAAACCTCCCGTCGTGAATTTTTCGCGTCGCCGGGAGGTCTGGGCCTCCTCCTCCTCCTCCTCCTCCTCCTCCTCTGAACGGCGGCTTGCCTTGTCCGTCCCCGCCCCTCGCCCGCCGAGCCACCCAACGTCACGATTTCTTCATGACGTCGACCTCTGGAGGTCTCGACCCATTTCCGGGACCCGTTCCTCATCCTGAGTCGGTTTTTGGCGGTCCCGGGGCCTAGAAAGGGCCCCCAGAAGCCGAAAGTAGCGAAAAATTCACGTCGGGCGATGTTGGACTGTTTTGTTGCTTTTCGTTCAGAATCCGCCTGTAGGAGGACATGCCCGACCTGACGAAAACCTCTCATCGTGTTCTTTTCTCGTCCGGGCCCTTCGCCCGCCGCGCCTCCCCCGTGCGGCGGTGGCTGCCAGGCTCGGTGCACGTCGACTACGCGCAGGACTCAGGCGCTCCTCTCTCGGAAGGGGGGCCGGCTTCTCGCGGGCCCGGCGCTGAGCCCCCCAGGGCTCCGGAGGGCTTCTCCGAATGGCTTAGGCGACCCGTCCTCCGCCTCTCTCCTCCTCCTACTCCTCCTCCTCCTCCTCCTCCTCCTCCTCCTCCTCCTCCTCCTTTTCCTCCTCTCTCTCTCTCTCTCCTCCTCCTCCTCCTCCTCCTCCTCCTCCTCCTCCTCCTCCTCCTCTCCTCTCCTCCTCCTCATCCTCCTCCTCTCCTCCTCCTCCCCCTCACTTCTCCTCCTCCTCCAGCCTCCTCCACCTCCTCCTCCTCCTTCCCCTCCTCCTCCTCCTCCTCCTCTCTCCCTCTCCTCCTTCTCCTCCTCTCCCCCCCCACCTCCCCCTCCGCCTCCTCCTCCTCCTCCTCCTCCTCCTCCTCCTCCTCCTCCTCCTCTCCCCTCTCGGTCGCAACGGCCCAGAGGAAGCCGTCCACGCCACAAAGCCCCCCCGCCCCCAGCGGGTCCCAGGTTGAGGACGACTAGCAGCAGGAGGAAGGAGGAGAGGAGGAGGGGGAGGAGGAGAGAGGAGGAGGGGGAGAGGATCGCGATGTGTGCTGCGTGCGCGCATAGGAGGAGGCGGGGAACGATAAGGATCGGCGGCAAGCGAGGGGGGGGGGACGGGAGGAGAAGGCCTTCTCAGAAGGCGGCGGGATTTCTCAGAAGCCCCCATCTCGCCTTCTGAGAAGTTTCTGTTGGTCTTCAGGGGAGGCTTAGACAATTTCTCATAATACCGGAGGACTTCCGGGCCTTCTGAGAAGGCCCGCACCTTCCCATTCCCCCCACGGGCGCGCCGCCTAAAGGAGGGCGAGGAGGAAGAAGAGGAGGACGGCGGGATGGAGGTTGAGGAACAATAGTCACCAGAAGGTCAGCAGGAAGAGGGGGAGGAGGAGGCGAACGAGGACGATGCGACGGCGGAAGACGAGGGGGAGGAATGCCCAACGTAATCTCACCACATTTCGAGATTGGAGTGTCCACCTTCCGATCCGATCCAGCACACGGTCAGTTGCCAACCATACAATAGCATAATTACGACAGGGAAAATCAGGGAGGAGGCGGAGGATAATGTTCAGGAAGAAGGGTGGAGCAAATAGAAGGGAAAAGGGTGTGAATGACGTGATGGGAGGTTTGACGAGGATGACGACGGAGTGGATGTTGATGGCGAGGGGCTTTGATGAGAAATGAGGAAGGAGGAAGGGGATGGAAGGTCGCATCGGTGGAGGAGAAGCCCCAGGAGCAGAGGACAAGGACACGTCGGAGGAGGAACGGCTTGTTCGGGAGGAAAGAGTGCTGTCAAGAGCAGGCGGGGCAGAGGAGGAGCACGGGTGTGTGGAGGGGGGGGGGCAGGGAAGGTGGGGGGGGAGTAAGGATGAAGTTGGTGGGATGAGTAGGAAGAGGAGGAGAGGCGATGAGGTAACATAGTCAGAATAAGATCAGCAGGAGATGGAAGGAGCTCGAGGAGAAAGCTGAGGAGGCGCAGGGTGATGATGTTCGGAAAGACGAGGAGGCGGAGGTGAATTGGGGGATAACAAGAAGCGCGAGGACGAGGCCAGCCGCAGCGGATATCCCGACGGAGGTGCGTCGGAGGTAGGACGGTGGTGGTGGTGGTGGTGGTGGTGGTGGTGGTGGTGGTGGTGGTGGTGGTGGTGGTGAGGAGGAGGAGGAGGAGGAGGAGGAGGAGGAGCAATGAGGGAAGCAAGCAGGGTCGGAACTAGGGAAGGAGAGGGAGGACAAGAATGATGAAGAGGGGAGGGAGGCCCCATCAAGGGGCTCTATGAGCACGCTACCGGTTGTTTCGGTGGTGGTCGGTAGTTCAGCCCTCGCGGTTGATTCGAGCGCGATTCTGCCACTTGGGCGGCTGAGCGCTTTCCTTTCACACTTGCGTCGCAGACATCCGTCCACCGCCCTCCCTTCATGGCACCCGAACGTCTACGCACCGTCATCCCCATCCTCTTCTTGTTGTCGTTCGCGTTTCTCGCCCATCCTCGCCTCATCCTCCACCTTTCCTCTTCATTCCCCTATCCCTCTTCCTCTTCTTGCTGGGGTCTGCCCCATGGCACCGCACCCTCCGAGGAAGGCGCCTGCGACGCGGGAGCACGTGCAGGGCAGCGGGCGAGCTCCGGCAGACGGGTCGGCGGAGGCGGACCAGGAAGAGGACGGGAGGGGAGTGCCGGGACGGAATGCAGGGTCCTCCTCCTCCTCCTCCTCCTCCTCCTCCTCCTCCTCCTCCTCCTCCTCCTCCTCCTCGCTCCTCCTCCTCCTCCTCCTCCTCCTCCTCCTCCTCCTCCTCCTCCTCCTCCCTCCTCCTCCTCCTCCTCCTCCTTCTCCTCCTCCCTGTCTCCAACCTCTGGGAGTTGTGGTAGAACATGGGCCCATCAAGGGAGGGCGCCGCAGCTCGGGCGGCCCCGGGCGGTGGCCGCGCTGGGCGCTGGAGTGTTGTGCCGCCGCTGCTTTCTCCTGCGCTATGTTTCAGCATCCCGCATGCCGGCGCGACACTGGCGACAGGCACACTGCTCGTGTCCTTCAGCTCCGTGTCTCCCACGCGGCGGTACGAGAAGCAGCTGAGGTCTGCGCCCGCTGCCATTGCGTGTGTTGCCGAGCATTTTCTTTGGGTGGAGGGCGAAGGGTGAGATTTGAAGTGCCGCTTCGACTGACTTGCGAGGCTTGAATTTGCGAGGGGGGAATCTCAAGTCGGATTGTTTTTTTCGAGGCGCAAAAGCCCATACGGATTTCACCCTGGCCCCTCCACCTGGAGAAAATGCCCAGGTTTGGTGCCTTCAAAAAGCATGTAGGTGCAACGGTGTGGTCAGTTAGTACTCGGAAGGGAGCCGGGCTGAGGGAGCAGGGAGCAGGAAACGCGGATCGGGTCAGGGAAGGTTGCGGGGAGGAGGAGGAGGAGGAGGAGGAGGAGGAGGAGGAGGAGGAGGAGGAGGAGGAGAGAAGAGGAGCAGGAGGCGGAGAAGAAGAAGGAGGAGGAGGAGGGAGGAGACGGAGGAGGAGGAGGAGGAGGAGGAGGAGGAGGAGGAGGAGGAGGGCGAGACGTGCGAGGAAGAGCATGCGCGGTGACAGGGCGAAGGTCGCAGGGCGGAGGGCGGAGGCAGGGCGCGAGGGCATCCAGGCGGCGGCGAGGAGGAGGACGAGGAACCGCAAGAGAACGGCCGAGGAGAGGACGAGGGAGGAGAGTGCGCCCAGACCCCTCCGCGCCGGGGAAAGCAAGAACATGCCGGGAGGTTTCTCCGGATCTTCGGCCCCCGGGGTGCCCTGCCGGGCCCAGGGGGACCGGCGAAGCACGATACTCGGGATGAGGAACCGGTCCCGGGGAAGGGGTCGAGGCCTCTGGGTCGACGTTGTTCGGGGGCGGCCAAGAGGGGGGGGATGACTAGGGGGGGGGATATCATGGCGGGGGCAATGATATCTCGTTAGATTTCATGGCGCCTCGTCTTATGTCATTACGTTCCCTGCCCCCCCCCTGGGCCGCGCACATGCCTCGGGCCATGATTTGCACACACCCCACTTGGACGCCCCCCTTTTGGACGCTCTCGAGTCGGCAACACCCCAACATACTTATACTATATGTGCGTCGCCCTCCCAGGGGCGATTCGCGCACCGAGGAATCTTATAGTATATGCGTTGTGGCGGGCGCATTCTGGCCACACCGCTCGGGAAACGATATACTACAAGATGGGTATACTATATGTTCGGGTCGGACGCTCGCCTCCAAGGAGGACATATAGTAATAGTATGTCTCTGTGCTTCCCATCGAGTTACGAAAATAAGCAAAAACATTATACGTCGGGGGTCTGGGAGGAGAGCGCGCAGGCATGAGCGCAGAGCCCAGACATCCGGCTGCTCCAATTGTTCGGTGCGTGGGCCTTGGAGGTCTAGACTTCAGTCGGGCCCGTCCAAAAGTCGGGCCCAGGAGGAACATTCAAAAATAGTGAACATATCGTATGGGGACGATTTGTTCTTACTGTTTGTGACTATTTGTAATTGTTTTTTTGATTATTTTATATTCGGCGTCCTAAATACGCCTGTAGGGGGACATGCCCGACCTAAGCCTAGACCAGCTCCGCAGGGCCGGTTTTGCGTCCTGAGTCGTATGTTGGCGCTCCCGGGGCCCGGCGAGGGCACCTGGGAGGCCGACCACGGCCCAAACCTTGCCGCTCCAATTTTTTGGGGGCGTCGGATCTCTGGGAGGTGGTGCGGACCAGTCCCGGGGAAGGGGTCGAGGCCTCCAGGGGTCGAGGTTGTGAGGAAAACCTGACGTCGGGGGGTTCGAGGAGGAGGAGGAGGAGGACGAGGAGGAGGAGGAGGAGGAGGAGGAGGAGGAGGAGGCGGAGAAGGAGAAGGGGGAGGAGGAGGAGGAGAAGGAGGAGAAGAGCGGAGGAGGAGGAGGCGGAGGAATAGGAGAGGAGGAGTGAGGAGGAGAGGAGGAGGAGGCCAATCTCGACAGGGTGGCGGGCCCTTCTCCCCCCCCCCCCATGGGTCGGGGGGGGTGGGGGCTCGCGGGGTGCGCACGACAAGCCACCTCTGCCACCTACCGAGCCAGGGGTCTCTGGAGTCCCCCCCTCCTCCTTCTCCTCCTCGTCCTCCTCCTCCTTCTCCTCTTCCCCTCCTCCTCCTTCCTCCGCTTTCCTCACCTCCTCCTCTTCTCCTTCCTCCTCCTTTCTCCTCCTCCTCTCCTCCTCCCTTCTCCTTCTCCTCTCTCCTCTCTGCCTTTCTCCTCCTGGTCCCCCCTCCTCCTTCTCCTCCTCCTCTCTCTCCTACTCCTCGTCCTCCTCCTCCTCCTTCTCCTCCTCCTCGTCCTCCTCCTCTTCCTCCTCCTTCTCCTCCTCCTCCTCCTCCTCCTCCTCCTCCTCCTCCTTCCCTTTCCCAAAGGCTCTTTTCCCCAAGCAGTTTTGACGTCCTGTCGTGGTCAGAACAC